GTGACCAGAAGATGAACATAAGCCTGCAATGCGATGCTGCTAGTAAAGCAACCAAAACGCTGGCTTGGATCTATAGGTGCTTCACAAGCAAATCCCGGGACGTCATTTTCTCCTTGTTCTTGGCCTTGGTGGGGCTGCAGCTGGAGTACTGCGTCCAGTTTTGGGCTCCACAATTCAAAAAGGATGCAGAGAAGCTTGAGAGAGCCCAGAGAAGAGCCACATGCATGATCAGAGGTCAGGAAAACAGACCTTACGACGACAGGCTGAGAGCCATGAGGCTCTTTAGCCTGGAAAAGCGCAGGCTCAGGGGTGATCTGATGGCCACCTATAAGTTTATCCATGGTGACCACCAGTATCTGGGGGAATGTTTGTTCACCAGAGCGCCCCAAGGGATGATGCGGCCAAATGGTCATAAACCACTGCAAGACCATTTCAGACTGGACATAAGGAAGAATTTCTTTACTGTCCGAGCCCCCAAGGTCTGGAACAGCCTGCCATCAGAGGTGGTTCAAGCACCTACATTGAACACCTTCAAGAGTAAATTGGATGCTTATCTTGCTGGGATCCTATGACCCCAGCTGACTTCCTGCCCTTTGGGCAGGGGGCTGGACTCGATGATCTTCCGAGGTCCCTTCCAGCCCTACTGTCTATGAAATCTATGAAATATCTATTGCTTTCATCCAAAGGCAAAGGCATCTTATGTCAGAAGCCTGGAACATGTAACCTCCTCATCCTTCAAGCACTTGACTGTTAACAACACAAGTAACAGGTTTATTTCAGAAGAGAAAGTGATACAATTAATTTCCTGGAATAGCCCACTACGTTAGAGTGAGGAAAGTGAATCTTCTTTTAAATTAAACTATTTGACAGTTCCTTGTTAGACATGGGGCTTCTGAGCTTAACCTAAAGAATCAAATGACAATTGGTGATAAATAACACCCATACACACTGAACTAAACAGCAGAGAGAATGTTTCTGGATACTTGGTCAGGGTTAGAGTATAAGGGTTGAAGGAAAAAGAGAGGCAGTTTTAAATTTCTCCTCCTCCCAGCAGTCTGGCTGCCACTTTGACAGTACTTTGAAGTTATCTGAGCTACTTTTGATTTGCTTTCTTGTGTGAACACTAAACAGGAAACTCTCCACTATTCCAAATGCACTGGAGTATTTTGTTGTTAACAGCAAGTGCATTGAAACTGACTGCTAACTATGACACAAACTGAGGCTGAAAAATGCAGTCAGGCGTTTCAGCACAGGAAAGAAGTGGAAAGAACCCTCCTCCCCCTTTCCCACCCTCACAGCAGCCCAGAGAACATTTAAAGAAGGAGAAGGGAATTTTTTCTCCATTGTTCTTTTTTTTTTTAAATCCAGAACTCCATAGTAGAAGGGGCAGTCATATAGTAATGTACACATGCATACGCATATAGTTTTTCAAGAAGTATAAAAAAAGCCATTAGTTAGCTAATGAATCCCTTCTTGGGTGGCAGAAAACTCTTGACCAAAAACACATTACTTTATGTCATAATATACCACCCTATTACGACTTACAGATATGATTGCCCAACAAGGCCTGGATGATTCAGCCATTCAGACAGAAACAGAATCAAGGCTGAACACATTTTTCCTTGCAATAAGATGGATGCTTCTGAACTGTTCTGTGGTATCTCTGTACTAGGCATCTACATTTAATCTTTAGAATAGGAATCAAAAAGTAGGGCAGAAGAAGAAGCACCACAGCACTCATCTGGCATTCAGATGTAAGTGGCCAGGTTGTGGGAGTCAAATAGGGCTATTGCCAAAAGAATTAATCTGCACTAGTCCTTCAACCCAAGGCATTCAAGTGAAGGAGCCAAAACCTATACTCTTACTTATTAACAAGTTAAATGTAGGAGTTAAACAAAAGCTAAGGGTAAAAACACCTCAACTAAACTGGGTTGAAGTTTAAGTGCAGGGTTTACATTTTGGAAATACCTAATGTTTCATTTGATTGCTCTTTCCACACTGCTTTTAGAAATAAGGATATTTTAAAAGATTTCCCTGTGCAATCTTTGGAGTCATTGTGCACTATCACAGCAGAAACCATCGTGCACAGAGACTGACAGAAGACAGCTTTCAAAGCACAAGAGGAATGTTCATCTTTACTAAGCAATATCTCCTACTTTGGAGCCTGGGTCACAAGAGACATGTTCTTGAAGATACTACAAACCTGGGACTGGCCAGAAGGTTTTCCTTCCAGTGTTTTTCCCCCTTTTTCTCTTGAGGTAGCCCAATCATGAAGTATTTGTCTCTGATGACAGGGAAAGCTTCTAGTAGATTCCTCAGGCTATTGTAGCATGCAATGATCTGGCCTCTCAGTGCATGGTGTGACATTCGATGGCTCAGGCTACAAAGCACAAAAATATGTATATGCAGTACTGTGCAGTGAGTCATTCCATAATCCTCTTGGTTCTGTTCCTTTTCTATACTGACATACCCTGTGGCATCTTCCACTAAAATTATCAGCGGTAGTTAGCTATTCTACTGTGCTGTGAAACCCAGAGGGATAAAAATTATGAAAGCAACATTAATATATTTTGCAATTCTATAATGCCTTATACCTGATATTCTCAAAGCCCTTTAAAAATACCCACGAATTCATACTCACAGCTGCTCTTTTGAAGTAGCTATAAATACTCATAGGGTGCATCTAAAGGAGCAATTACTACAATGAAATAAACAGTGGTGCTTCTCGCACCTGAGTCAGCTGCTCCTGGTTGCAACATTTACACATGTGCCCAGGACCACAGCAGTTAGAGCCAAGACAGAAGAGTCTTGGACTGGCAGTGGGCCCAGGGGCTCAGCCCTGGGCTCTGGGTAGCAGCAGTAGGTGGCAGAGGTGTTGGCTGGGGCGTAAGGGAGCTACAGCGTGGGGCTAGCCAGCAGGCAGCTCCCACACTCTAGCACTCTCGAGCTCCAGCCAGCCCGTCACAGTTTACATGTGCGTTCAATTGCACACAAGTACTCTGCCATAAGATAGTACTGTCCCTGGCAGTGCTATCTTATAGTGGAGTTAATTAATCTACTGAGCCCTAACACTGGCACATATATCGACTGTGATGCTTTACTGTGGAGCTAATTAGTCTACTCTGCAGTAAAGTGCACATATAGATGCACCCATATTGTATCTTCAAGTGCCCATATCTATGAAATATTGTCCTCTCACAGCACCTAAGATGTCCTGCTGACAAACTGTATGAATGTACAATGGGATGGATACTTGATATATTAAACAGCTTTATTGAAACTTGTCAGCGTGGCTTGTTTTTTCAGTCAAAACAGTATACAAAAGATCTCTTTAAAAAAGGTACTTACTGGCACCCTGCAAAAGGATACAACTATTGTCATTCACTTCAACAAGAGCAAACTCCCACTGACAAACACTGAAGCCAAAGTACGGCCTATATAGCTCTAAGATATTTTTGACATTCTCAGCTTAAATCAGGTTTGAATAGATTCAACCCAGGTTTGAAACTCTTCTTCCTCGTGTTCCCTCCTTCTCTCAAATCACTTCAATCCACCAAATGAATCTGCAGGATGATCTGTCACCCAGATCCACAGCTCCATCATCACTCTCTGATTTACTCTGCCACTCTCAACTTTTACTATGGTTCAGTCCTCATGTTGGCCCTTCTCCTCACCCTCTAAATACCATCTAATCATTGACCTTTTCCCTCAGCACAGTCCTGGAGAAAGAATGATGCCTGTTCCAGTGTGCTCTCTCCAGAGTTCTGCTTTTAACTCTTGCCTTTCTTCCACTAAGCCAATAAATGTAGTTGTATCTCATTAAAAATGGATCGTGTTCTAACCAGATCCTCAGGCACTCGTGCAAGCATTTATCTTCAACATACTCACATACGACAGTATTCACCAATAACTTCCCTCTTGATTTTTAAAACTTCGTCCTAGAATAAAATAATTTCTAATTAGCAACATTTCTATATACCTGTATGCATACCTTGTATCAAAAAAGCAGAAACACATATTTTACATTACACAAATACTGTTTTATGCATGTATTAAACAAGGTCTTAAAGTATATCTCAGTACATTCTTTTAAAGCTGTATTGAAAGTGAATGTCAGGCACGATTTTAGCCAACAGAGCAGATCTTGGAAAGAGTTTATTAAGTCAATAATCAGTTTCAGCATAGGTCTTGCATTTAGGTCACATGCACCAAACTTAGTCAATAAACATTGCAATTCTTTTTCTCAAAAGAGTATTCTACTAATAGTTGCTCTCCCCTATGTGTTAATAGTGGTTATTAAATTGGTTACATAGTTTGTTAAACTGAGTATGTTAAACTGAATAATATTTTTGAGGACTTGTGATACAATATTTAGTGAGATTTTGGGGAAAGATGGGAGCTGAGGAGAGGTGTGATTTTAAAAAAATCTTTCATCATCTGTGTTCAGAACTAAATTTAACTTCTAATGCATTCAGGACAAGACCTAGAGTTGCAAGCAAATTCAGAATGGGATCTATGTTACTCAGTTTCTAGATACCGCATTAAGATGGTTCCCAAAATCTGGTTTTATCTTGGAGCACAGATCATAAAGAATCTATTTAATTTTCTTATAGACTAAACACAATTTGCTAAAAAATAAAATGGCATACTAAAAAGGCATAATAAGAAGAGTTCTCCTATTCTAGGGTCTATTTCTAACCTATGAAGCATACATCATGGACTTTGGAATAAAATCCCCTGATGTATCAAAATGAAACACCAAGTGTGGATAGAACATTCTTCCTAATTTCAGCTGAAGATAGTTCAGATGGGACTTAAGTTGTACTAGTAGGTTAACTTCACAAGAGCCACCTGCAAATTGCTATTCCCTTTTGTATATGGATAAAATAATTGACCACAAGTTAAAAATGGGCAGGGCTTTACTGCACATCAGATGCTCTGTGATAACTGCCTGTGTGGCTCTGTGGCAGGTAGAAGCTAAACCCTAGTGACTTAGGTCTCAGCAAAAAAAAGGGAAGTTTAATTTACATTTACCATAGAGTAAGGGCATATACACATCAGTAGTAACAGTAGATGATCTAATGAATGATAAAGTCCTGTCTTATAATCTTCTGTAGAATTGTTTATATCTCCATGCTCTAATTATTGTCCACTGGACTTCAGGTGTTGCTATGGAGTGCCTACTGCAACTGAAGGATGCAGGAGGGTCAAAGATGTCCTTTAAGTCACCTTGACTACAGAATCATGAAACTGAGGTCAGGACAGGCCCCTTGTTAAATAAGATAAATCCACCTCATGCTCAGATTCCTTCTCGGCTTTATGTATTTGTTTATCAATTTATTAATTTTACATTTAAATCTCACACTTCTATTCCTTGTAACACACATTCTACAGCAAACAAATGTATTTATCTGAGACACTGAGAGGCTCCCCATCACCACAGTATCCAAATGCCTCATCACCAATGATGTAATTCAAGGGTGGCTAACATGCAGCACCAAGTGGAATGGGAAACTTCTGTGTGTGGCTCACAGCAGATCAGGGAAAGGACAGGCAGCAGTCTCAGATAGGGCAGGGAGCAGAAAGCAGAGCAGCAATTAGGTAGAGGAAAGTAATTAGAATGGCACTTGGGGAGGGCACAGCGCTAATTTGTGGCATGCCTTCCCAAACAGTTGGCCCTTGTCTTTACAGCCCACAGTAGAGCACGGGACAACTATCATCCCCATTTTACAGATGGAGAATTGACGCCCGGAGGAACTGAGTGATTTGTTCAAGGAAGTCTATGGCAGAGCAGGGAACTGAAACTTGGTATCCTGGGCGGATGCCCTAACCATAAGGCCAGTCTTCTCTTTACAGTTATTACAGGCTGAGAGTTATGTTGGTGCTTTAACAAAATAAAAGCTAACAAAAAACTTAGTATAGTGCTTAAAGTCGACAAAAACATGTCTCTTCACTAAAGGTACTTTGACTCACAGGGTTTTGCATCCTGCTGCCCATGATTTCTTTTTTCTCAATGAATGTGTTTAGCATCAGGTCCCGTGGCCCCAGTTTCTCCAGCTGAATAGAAATAAAGGCTTCTGGAGGTCTAAGAGTAAAGACAGACATTACACCTGAACTCTGAAGCCAGGGACAGGAAAAGTTAGCTATCAAGATGCACCATGAATAAATCCAATCTGATCTACAAAATTGTTTTAGGTTAAACAGAACACCTCATACAATTCAATTAAAAACATTTTGGGATGTATATAATAGACTTTATGGGGTAGCTGAAATATACAAGACCCAGGTACAGATTGTCAATATATTTAATTTATTATTTTATTGAAAATTAAGTATGTGAAAATAGATACAGAGCCCCAATTAAGAATATCTTCTCAGGTAGACTAAGGGAGTTGGGGGAAATTCCTTTTTGTTTTATGAATGCCCTTTCATTTGTAAGCTTCATTTTGTGTTGTAACCCAACATTGGAACAGGATATCTGGGTGTGCTGAGAACTGTCTAATAAGGTGAACTATTCTGGACACTGTGTTCTCATGACTGAGTACAGGATGCCTCAGAACTTAGCTAAAAATGAGACATTCATCATAGGTGTTTGCCTCATCTGGTTGCCTCTGAATTGACTAGCCCAGACCAGTGATATATTGTGCAATAATCACTCACACCTAAGCACACGGAAAAAGGTCTGGGCCCAGCGTCTGAAGTCTACCTGACAGCAAGCTTTTGCAAGGTCCAAGACCTATTTAACAACTGATTCCAACTGGTTCATACCAGTCCCTCCTAGGTACACAGTACTCCATGTCAGGCACAGGCAGGACAAACAGGCCAAGAAAGCAGTATAGACTACTGGGCCTAATGCAACTGACCACACAGGAGATGTAAGATCAGGCTGAGGACAAGACCATCTGTTAGGACCATTTGTTATCTGCCGTAGACCTGTAACTGTCTAGACCTTTCAAGAATAAAAGAATCTATGGTTGCAAAATTCCTATGCTAAACCTGCATTTCTTGTCTTATTGCCTTACTACCCCAAAAGGGTTTAACTTGAAGTTGGAGTCCCCACTTACAGAGGGACTTTGAAGAAGTATGTCTAAAAAACAGGGATTCAGGGAAGTCCACTGGTCAAAAAAACAGCATCAGTATAGGCCTGGGAGCATGCTTAAGAGACCTGGAAGAAAGAACAGTGCCCAGTACCTCCTTAGACCCCAAGGAGCAGAGAAGCACCAGGGCCCCAGGACTGGCTGCACTGACATTAGACTGACAACCACAAAGAGAGGGGAACTGCTCTGGTCATGACCATACCTTTTAATGGTTTGGTGCATATCCAAATGGCGCCCTGTAGCATATGGAATAGCTGGTGCTACTGCCAACTGATTTTCTGTCCCATACCCAGATCTAGAATTTCTCCCACTTGCTGAACTGCTCCGACTCCTCAAACTTACATTTCTTTCCTGTAATATTATGAGCAAATTTACTCTTACAAGGAATGTCAGTATGGTCTATTAAATTAATACAGGTTAGCAATTCAACATAGTGTCTGTGTCCTAGCCATATAGAATAATAATTCACTAGGAACCCAGAAAGCAGAATAAAAAAGTTGTTACTGAGCACAAGAATAATGAAACTGTGGAGACAAGGAGAGTTAGAGAAAACAGAAAAATCATAAATCAAATCAAGTATTCTCTATATTGCATCAATAAAGATATCCTGCAAAGTTCACTTTCTCAAATATATCTAAATTCACCATTTGATATTCAGATGAGTTGGCCTAAACATGAAGAATGAAAAAACAGTTGTATAAAACTAGACATATATCTTGAAATTTACATATGCATCTGTCTATTAAACAGCAATCGCCAGCATATGCAGAAGGGATTTTTCACAAGGCTCAAGTAGAGACGTTTTCAAAAGCACCCAAATTACTTTGAAAGCCAAGGGGAGTGAAGTTCCTAAGTTATAGGGATGCTTTTGAAAATGGAACTCAGGCTCCTACCTAATCTGGGCATTTTTGAAAAATGTATCTTAGATACACAGCAGTCTATTATGTGCAAGGCAAATAGATAATTGTTTAAATTAACCGATTCCAAATCTCCATTAGTGGTCAATCTGTGTTTTGACTTGAATTACAAATAATTGTTTACACTAACATGTGCTCAGGCAAACTAAAAGGAAATTGGACCAAATAACCCTAATTGTTTCAAGGATACTCTCATGTATAAAACTGGAAGGTTTCCAGGTTTCATCTGGAAAATTCCTCCACTAACCCTGACTTCACTAAGTTGCAGTCTCCCCTCTGCAGTCCAAGGGAAGCTCAAGTACTCTGAGGAGAAGGCTGGACTTCCTGACTTCACCAAAGCAATCATTCCACAGTTGCATTGTTTCTAAAACATTGCAACATAAATCCAGTGACAAGGACCTGTTAGGTGGAACCCCTCCTCTGACTAAAAGATGTGGTCAGCAAATACCATAACCCAAGAACAAACTAGCTCTGTTGCTATTACCAGAAAGACTTGATGAATAGAGAGCTGGTTCTACCTGTTTTACTGACTATTTGCTGAGCCAACCTGATTTGACATTGCTTGAGCCTTTGATGTGAGAAGCTGAAATGGGGACAAGGTAATATTCTGCATGAAACAAGATGGATCAGAGATTCTGGTTCCTCTGTAATAAGTTAGATAGGGCACACTTGCCAGGCAGATTCAGCATATTAGGATGAGGGAATCCAGAGAACTAAATATTATTGCTTTCACATTTTATGGTAATTTATACTTGTTTCAAACACTTCAAAGATGAGACTTATCTTCACTTATCTTCATCCTGTTCCTGTCCCTTTATACTACATAAAAAGGTCAGTGTGACACCCAAATGATTCGCACGCAGCTAGATAAAGTTTCCTTCATTACAGATGCTGATGGGCAACTTGGGAGGAAGTGATCATGATACACTAGAATTCCAGATCTTGAGAAAGGGAAAACATGAAGTCAGCAAAATTAGGATGTGAGACTTCAAAAAGGGGGATTTCATATAACTGAAGGAGCTAATAGGCATGGTGTCAGGGAAGGACAGACTGAAGGATAAAGTCATCCAGGAGGGCTGGGAGCTTCTAAGGGGCACAGTACTGGAAGCCCAACAAGAAGCTGTCCTGACCTGATGGAAGCACAAGAAGAATGGCAAGAGACAAATATAGCTGCACACGGAGCTTCTAAAATGCCTCAAATGCAAAAGGAAATCATACCAGCAATGGAAGAATGGGCAAGTCACCAAGGAACCGTACCAGGAAATAGCAAGAACCCACAGAGACAAAAATCAGGAAGGCAAAGATAAAGAACAAGCTGCATCTGGCAAAGAAGGTTAAGGACTAGAAGAAGCGATTCTATAAGTATGTTGGCTAGAAAAGAAAGACCAAGTTAGCAGAGGGACCCACAGCTTACAAGCCAGGGGGAACTCCTAACTGAAGATAGGAAGAAAGCAGAACTACTCAACAGCTCCTTTGCTTCAGTCTTCACAAAAAAATTAAGCTGCAGCCAGACACCTAACATGGATTATCTGGGTAAAGAAGGGGACAAGTTGAGGGAAAAGATAGCTAAAGAGATGGTCAGAGAGTTTTGTTGAGTCTGAATGAATCCAAGTCATCAGGGCTGGATGAGCTTCATCCCAGGGTCCTAAACGAACTGGCAGAGAAGATCTCAATCAATGCATCTCCAGCAAAGCCAAGGAGGTAATTCTTCTGTTCTATTCAGCACTGGTGAGACCACAGCTGGAGTACTGCATCCAGTTCTGGGCACCACACTTTAACAAGGATGTGAACAAGCTCCAGAGAGTCCAAGAAAGAGTCACCCATATGATCAGTCTTAAAAGGCAAGCCATATGAGGAAAGGCTGAGGGATCTGGGACTCTTCAGCCTGAGGAAAAGAAGGCTGAGTGGGTACCTGGTAGCAGCTTACCGCTACACTAGGGGAGTACATTAAGGGCTTGGTGAGCAACTGTTCACCAGGGCACCCAAAGGGAGAACCAGGAGTAATGGCCACAAACTCCTGGAAGATAGATTCATACTCAACATTGGGAAAAATTTCTTCACAGTCAGGGTGTCCAGACTGTAGAATAAGCTCCCTCCAGACTGGTGCAATCACCTACCCTGGAAATCTTCAAGAGGAGACTAGACAAGTCATCTTGTTGGGGTCATCTTTTCTGCTGGGTGCTGGACCCGATGATCTTCCAAGGTCCCTTCCAGCCTTACAATCTATGAATTCATGAAGATTATTGCCAAGGGCTCTGAGATTTATGAAGTCATGGGAGATGAGCCAGGTACCAGAGGACTGGAAAAAGGCCAGTGTAGTGCCACTTTTTGAAAAAGGCAAGAAGGAGGACCCAAGGAACTACAGACCAGTTAGTCTCACCTCAATATCTGGGAAGTAACTGGAACATATCCTAACGAAGGCCATTTGCAAGCATCTGGAGGAGAAAGGGCTCATCACAGCAGCCAGCATGGATTTATGAAAAGCAAATCATGCCAAACAAACTTGATCTCCTTCTTTGACAAAGTAACTACTTGAGTGGATGAAGGAAATGCTGTAGATATAGTGTATCTGGACTTCAACAAGGCTTTTGACAAGATCCTGAATGAACTTCTCATAAACAAATTGGAGACATGTTGGCTACATAAAACTACTGCAAGGTGGATAGATAACTGACTTGATAGTTGCAAGCAAAGGGTAATTATTAGTGGGTCCATGTAAGAATGACAGGAGGTTTCAAGTGGAATCCCACTGGGATATGTCCTGGACCTGGTGCTGCTCAATGTGTTCATTAACAGGTCTAGAGGTGGGAAACAAAGATGATCAAGGGCTTGGAAAGCAAGCCATACAAGGAGAGTCAGAAGGAGCTAGGCATGTTCAGCTTGTGGAAAAGGCACTTAAGAGGGGACATGATAGCAGTCTTCAAATACATGTACTTGAAAGGCTGTCATAAAGAACAGGGAAAGAACCTTTTCTCTCTTGCCGAAGGGAGGAGGATACAGACCAATGGCTGGAAGCTGCAGCAAAGTAAGTTTAGATTGCATATCCAAAAAGAACTTATTCACTGTGAGAATAGTGAAGCAGAGGAATAGACTGCCTAGGAAGCTGTGGACTCCCTGTCACTGGAGGTGTTCAAGAAGAGGTTGGACAGCCATTGGTCAGACATGATCTAGGCACAGCTATGCTTATGTTCTACCGTGGGTATTTCTATGCTTCTGGTCTTTGCCGCTTGTCCCTTCCCATGCTTTTCTGTTATATGTGTCAGGGTGTGTTTAAGCCTTCCCAGAGGCATTGGGTGCTGACTGGGGACTTTGACCGGGGTGTGCCAATGCTCCTACTAGGATTAAAGCCAGAAATTTCTGACTAGAGGACCTTGCCCCTCCACTCAGGGTCAGACTGATCACCATTCATAGTTTCACAGTTTCATAGTTTGTAGAGCCGGAAGGGACCTGAGTAGATCATCAAGTCCAACCCCCTGCCATGGCAGGAAAGAGTACTGGGGTCAAACGACCCCAGCAAGGTGATTGTCTAGCCTTGTCTTAAAGACCCCCAGGTAGGAGTCAGCACCACTTCACTTGGAAGTTGGTTCCAGATCCTAGCTGCCCTGACCGTGAAGTAGCGCCTCCTGATGTCTAATCTGAATTTACCCTCTGCCAGCTTGTGACCATTATTTCTAGTCACTCCTGGTAGTGCTCAGGGGAACAGGGACTCCCCCAGTGCCTGCTGGTCCCCTCTGACTAGTCTGTAACAGGCCACTAGATCCCCCCTCAGCCTTCTCTTCTAGAGGCTGAACAGGTTCAGGTCCAGTAGCCTCTCCTCATAGGG